CCAAGAGATTCAACACGACTTTAATATGCTTCACTGCTGAATTTCATTGACGAGGTGTTGAATGCCCTCATATCTCAAAACGAAGCAATGGCCACTTGATCCAGCTGTGACTAAATATTTTGAAACTTAAAGACTTGTAATTGGATGACACAGCTGTTACGAGGACGATAAGACAGTAAAGTGTTCTGCCTTATTTGTTGATACCTAAATTCCATTCACTCAGAGTCTAATACTCTCTTCATCGGAAGTTTCATAGTCACGTGACAGCTGCTCCCCAAACATTTTCCAGCATTTGTCTCATTAGTAATGGGGTTTGCTTCTTTTAAATCGTAGTTCTAGTTCTTCTCTCTCTGTACTAAGGGCGTAAACATTACAAATCCAATTCAGAATATTCGGAAATGAAATCCGAATATTCGACATGGACATTGACCACTCTTTATCTTCATGGGGCTGAAAAAAAAGTTGGTGTTATAAAACTCACATTCGTCTTCTTCTTCTTCCACTAACGACTACGGCATAGCCTTATTCGTCACACCATCCAAAGAGCATAATAAACTATAGTAATATCAATAATCTTAAAATCACTCAAAATAAAGGACTTGTCAAATCGATAAAAACAGCATTAAAATCTTCAATCATTCTCAGGAGAAGAGAGCCAGCTTTGTGCCCGTCTCTCAGGCGGTGGTCCAGGTAATCTATATCCTATGCGTTCCTGGCTATACAAATCTTCGCTAGTCTCTGGTACCGACTACCGTAGGTTCATGGGGGGGGGGGGGGTGTTAGAGTTACTATCCTGAACCATTGAACCATGTTTGAGCCTTGACTGGTTGAAATTTCAAAGGGACGTCCTGTACAAATTTGAATCTTTCACTAAATGTTTAGCATAAACACCATGCAAGTTATGGATCAAGAACTTTTCATCATACAGTTTGCAGAATTGCTGAAGGAATGTGAACAATAACTCATCTGCATGATTTAAAAATTCGGCTTGTTCGCAAATATTAGGATCCGCTAAAATCCTGATGGCGACATGGAAACACAAGAAATTAATGTAACGGTGTTGATCAAGTTCCCTCTTCGAACAGACGCTTGGTTGTAATACTGAACATTAATTTTGCGGTAAGAAATATTTTTCCGACTTTCGAGGACCGACAGTGTCTCGTCGATAGACAAATTAAGTAAGGACGTAATGAAGCGCTGTTCTAATAAAGAGAGTGTCGCTGACAACAGGATCACTTGCTTATCTGCGACACTGTCATAGTATCTGTCGGTTTGAAGGAGGGCGGGTCGAAATTCGATCCCCCAAATGGGGATGCAGTGGGCTTCATCGAACACATACGCGATGTGTATTCCCTGGGCCTCACTTAGGAATTGAAGGAAGGTTCGAGCTCCCGCTAGTTTCTCTGCTGTTGTGAGGAAGAAAACTGTTGTACCTCCAACCACAGTTGCCTCTGTCCAGCGTAGTAATTGCTGCGTAACAAAAGAGTAATATTTTCCCAGAAGAGATTCGGCAACGTCCGAATGTCTACACTGCGTTTTCACTTAGTTCGGCAGTATTGTAATCCCGCGAAACCTGGGTCGTCCTCTCCAGCCGTGCCTTCAGGGTTGCAACCTAAAATCGGAGAAATTGAGGGTAGGGGGCCCCCCCCCTCGAGGAAGGTGGTGATTGCTAGGGAAAAATCCCTTGGATCACACACCGACGCTCACTGAATCGAGCCAATCAGAGAAGTCGGACATGACATCTTTGATCTTAACTGCAAATTTTGATGTTTTTTCGTCTTATTTCAAATTTTAAGGGGTGCACCTAGAAGAAAATTTCTGAGAAAGACTGGATCAATATACAAATCAAAAAGTCTATACTCCCTAGCTTTGAAGAAGGAAAGATTAGTTAAAGCTCTCGGTTTTCGTTGAAAGTTGGAGGGTACAAACTTTCGACACTCTAGAAGATGGTCTAAAATAGATGTGCCATGCCTTGCTGATAGTTTAAACGGCAAATCTCTTCCTGTCCACAGCCCTAGAAGGGATTTGGTGATGCCCCGGTGAAGCAAATACATAGGGTCAAGGGGCACTTGTTTGACTATATCGAAACCTGGCAGATGGGCTAACTTAGAAGTCTCATTGTGATGTTTTGAATCAATAGCAGTAAAATAATCCAAATTAGTTCTCCGCACTGCGGTTTCCCACTGACAAAGCGGATAGAATGTCCGATCATTCCAACTACCAAAAACATTGCATTTGGTACAAGAGGTATAACCATTGAAGTACACAATCTCAAGAATTAGACACTTGGCAGGAGCATCATCGACAATACTCCTGAGGAACAGTAGCTTGTGTTCACCATTAACAAGCATTCCATTCTCCATCAAAAGTGAATGCTCCTCAACAGGTTTATCAGTGAAAATATTTCTACTGGTTGGCCTGGGACGCTCACCAAACCAACAAGCAATTAAATCCACAAGATTTTTAATAGACGAGACTGAAACAATTCTGGTCATCCATGGCCAGGCCCCCGGCTATTTATGATATACTCTGGTGCCTTTTTCAGATTTTCTACCCCCATTTTCAGAGGCTCTTCCGGTAACTAGATTGGAACCCAGCCACTAAAACAAACAAAATTCTTATAATCATAACAAAACAAAACAATAAAAAACAAATTCATGATATACTCTGGGGCCCTGCCCGTGCCGATCCCCAGGTAGTCCCCCACGTGGGATGATAAGAGGATCCACCTGTGGCCCTCCCATATGGTGTCGTCGCTCAGCTTTGCAGTGATGGTGATGGTTAGAGTACCCCCATTTTCAGAGGCTCTTCTGGTAATTAGGTTGGAACCCAGGCACTTTTCGGTTTTAAAACAAACAAAATTCTTAAAAACATAACAAAACAAAACAATTAAAAACAAAAATAAAACACGACACAACACAAACGTTTCTACCAAACAAAATTCTTTAAGTTCCTAAATTCCACCCCCCAAGTAGGAATAGCGTGTGCCTCATCATAGACTATAATTTTCGGTTCTACCCTTTCTATACAGAAGTTGTGGAAAGTCGTATGCTGATGCAATTTCTCTGCTGTCGTGAAAATAAATAAGGATCTCCCTTCATTCAGGACGGTAGAAAGGTTCTCCAGAATGAAAGGGCAAAGATCGGTTTCCCGTAAGTCTACGCATGACACAGTCCCTTTTAGTTTATTTATAAAACAATATAAATAATTTTAAATTCACATCAATCTATAGTAACTCACTTTACCCCGATAATGTAAACCGTGGTGCCAGACTCGTTTCGAAGCTGTCGAGACTAAATTGTAGAATACCTCAACTTAGCATATTAAGCAACGTTCGAGGACGCTATCACAGGATCTTACTATCAGCCTTGTTTTACATACATACGACTCGCTTCATATTGTACTTTCTGACGCTCTACGACACCTAACCTCCACTGCCCCCTGCAGCTCGTGTAGCGAGCTAATCACGACTTGTATTTGATTGAAGGGTTTCAACTCTGAAAGCCGAAAGCACTCCAAAAAGAAAGAAGACTCTGGGGTTGAGTCAACGCGATTCAGGGTTGAGTCACGTTGACTCAACCCGGCAGGAAGGAAGATAAAAAACTAGAGGATTACTGCTGGCGGAGCGACCCGCAAGCCGGCACAGCTCCCTCACATCACAAAGAGACAATACCACCCCCAAAAGGGGTGATTTTCAAGAAAAGACACTCACATTTCAAAAAGAGAACGAGGATACGCACCGACGCGTTGAAGAACCAAGCGCGAACAACCGTCAGTGGCAGTTCCGATTCCCTCCACCAGGGGACTGGTGGGGGAAATCAGAAGCGCCAACTGAATTTTTAAACTTGTGGCGGGAGCAGGGTTTGCTGCAGGCAGAACACTACATGATATAATCTGTATTTGAATTACCTGGATTTGATGGGGGTGTGCGGGGAGCCCTGTTCGGAGAGGGAGGCGCCGACGCTCTCGAGCCCCCTGGAGAGACGGAGCATCTCGGCGCCGAACTGGTGGAGGGCGGAGAGGGTGGAGGGGGCCGGCTCGGAGTCGGGGAGCCAGAGCTCGTGGGTGTCGAGGGTGGTCATGTCGGTGTCGGTGGATCCGGCCGAGGAGTGGTGCGAGTGCCCCGTCGCCGGCGGGTGCAGGTGCTGCGGCGTCGACTCCACCGACGACAGCGGCGTCTTCGACTGGTGCAGCAGCCGCCGCCACGTGTAGCGCCGGTCCACCCCTGAGCAAACCAAAAAAACACTACCGGTAAAAGAATATCCGAATGAAAGCAAGAACGTCGCATGAGCTTTCAGACGCTCCCATATTTCCTTCAATTAAAACATGATTTACTCGGACAACTTTGTGTACAAAGTCTGTCCCAAAAATAAGTGGACTGATGCTGTAATTTCCGAACTGATCATCGCAGCGATCTTTTCTTGGTCGCGTTTTAAAGATCAACTCAATACCTATCGATTAAGACCAAGATCATCAAAATCGGTCAAAAATTGACCGAGTTATGACGTTTTCCGTGAGAGGAGTAAAAATTCAGCCTACCGTTTTTTGAAGGAAATTTATTCTTACCGAGAGTTACAAGTTTCAAGCTTCGTCTTCGCTACTTGCTAACAATGATGAATTGTTCGATTCCTTTTCGAAGTATTGTCCGTGAGACTTGATGCACAATCTCATGCGTTCTTGCCATTTTTCGGTCATTGTTTTATGAAATTCTTCGATCTGAAGGGTGTTGAAGAACTTCTCGACTGCGGTCTTGATTTCTGCCTTCGACTCAAACTTGCAGCCGCGCATTCCCTTCTTGAGCGTGGGGAAGAGCCAAAAATCGCATGGTGCGAGGTCGGGGCTGTACGGTGGGTGGCGGATACTTTCAATACCATTTTTTGCAAAGAATTCTTTGGTGTAATTTGACGTATGAGGCCGAGCGTTATCCTGGTGGAAAAGCCAAACAGCTTTCAAATGCGGCCGCTTCCGCGCAACATGCTTCCGCAGCTCGGCCAAAACTTTACAGTAGTAAGCACTGTCCACTGTTCTTCCTTGCTCGACGAAATGCTGGTAAATCATGCCTTTTGAGTCACAGAAAGCAATAAGCATGACCTTACATGCAGATTTTTGTTGCCGGACTTTCTTTTGTTTGGGGGATGTCGTAACTCTCGGTAAGAATAAATTTCCTTCAAAAAACGGTAGGCTGAATTTTTACTCCTCTCACGGAAAACGTCATAACTCGGTCAATTTTTGACCGATTTTGATGATCTTGGTCTTAATCGATAGGTATTGAGTTGATCCGTAAAACGCGACCAAGAAAAGATCGCTGCGATGATCAGTTTGGAAATTACAGCATCAGTCCACTTATTTTTGGGACAGCCTTTGTATCAATAAATTGTGTCCGCTGTCATCGACCTTTTAGGAAACCGGAGACATTTTCGATTTTCACTCGAGTTCCGCTGAGGGTTTATTTAATCGCCTTTGTCTCCCAGTTTTCCTCCGTGCAGTACAAGTAGTTATCATTCAATTTCTTAAATGGTATGCGACGTCTCCCAGAAGGTGGTATTGTGTATTATGAAAAAGAGCATTCCTTCCTTATGCTGAAGAATTCTAAAAATAGATGGATTACGGAAAATGAACACGCCCCGGTGCACCCATGTAGATGTGCGTGAAAATCTTTTTGCTCGTAAATACTCTTTGCAAGACCAAATATTTGGTAATTTTTCGGTTAAAATAAGAGACTGCAATCGCTTTTGGAAATTTCGCCGGAATGTGCGAGCCATCTATGGCTCAAAGAACTCCTCTATTATTATTTTTCTGCGGGTGTTCCGCCGCGGCCCTTTGTGGAGCAGCAACTTCCTTCTAGGTGAATAATGAGCCTATCAGCTAATTTCATGCAGGAATTTGATACAGCATATAGATATGGATAAAAATGTGAATAGACCCGCCAACCAAAACATCCAAAGCAAGATCCTAAACCCTACGTCCCCTACGTTCATGGAATACGGACTTGGTTTAAAATTCCTGGCTTGTCTGGACTGGACGGGTCCATCAATATATTATTACATTATCATTTTTTTGCGGGTCTTCCGCGGCTGCTCTTTTTTGCGCAACAACTGGCTCCTTGTAGGTGAGTGACGAGCCTATGACGTAGCTAATTTCACTGAGGAATTTGATATAGCATATGGTTATGGATAAAAATGTGAATAGACCTAGACCCGCCAACCGAAACATCCAAAGCAAGATCCAAAACTCTACGTTCTCTACGTCCATACGGATTTGGCTTAAAATTCTTGGCTTGTCTGGACTGGACGGGTCTATTAGGATTTTATTATTTTTACTGCGTCTTTAACGTGCACAGCCCGAGGCCGGCGCTCTCGACTTCTCCAGGCGTTTCAACGCAAAGGAGAGTCGAACTTGAGTCTCACAACAACCAACTCATTAAAAAAGCCAACGATTTCAAAAATCGTTTCAAAACTAAAAGTTTTAAAGATTTAAAATATTAGTTTGAGGCTAAGAATTCACAAATCTTAACAATCCTAAAATAAAATTACTAAATTGTAAAACATTAAACGTCAAAATTAATTGGTTTAAAATAGTTAAAAGTGGCTTTTCTTTCAAAAATCGTTTAAAAGCTAAAAAAAAATATATATTTATGTCTCTTCTTTTCATTGACATTATTTTTCATTCAATCATAATAGTTGTGGTTTTTCTAAAAATTATTTACAAATGTGATTCCTCCATATCTCTTTTGTCCTCGTCTATAGCTTTGTCTATCAATTTCAATTATCGCCCGCTGGTCGACCCCCGGTATATGCTGGTCTCTTTGTAGTTACAAAGTTACATTGGCGAAAACGATTATCTCGGTCCCGTTGATTCTCATCAAGAAAGTTCGGAATACCGAGGGGTAGGCATGACCAAGAATTTCAGACGCTTCGCTTTAGCTTCGCCCGAATCTGTTGACACATTTTTGCGAGCCCAGGTCATTTGCAGATACGTTTGTATGGTTATCAAGGTAAGTCAGAAGGGCCAGAGGAATCCTAAAAGTTTTCCACAGGGGTATATGATGGTCCGCGGAGACAGCGCCATCTTGTAGCCGGGTGGAACGTTAGGACTGAAGGAGAAAATGGTGTGAGCGATTCGTCCGTTGACGTAGCTTCCTCCTCTAGATCCGCATCAGAGATTGTTGCGTTGTAGGATTTCGGTAGGTAGACCTTGCACTTCTCACCACCGATGGTGATGTAGGCCAGGATGCTCGCCCCGTATTTCGTATCGACGCGTAGCATCTTCAACGATATTTGGAGAGCGGTGGCTCCATGATCGAGTACAATTTCTTTACCGAACAATCTTACGATACGGTCGTTTGCGGACATTTCTGTCTGAAGTTCCTTATACAAGCGACTCGACTTAGGAAATCTCTATCAGAATGAGTGAGACTATCATACTGTCCGGATGTGCGAGTGTGCTGGACAGCGTGTTCGCACCACCGATCACGCTAGACCCTGCACGTTACCATTCCATCGGTCTCGTCGAATTCGTAGCGTACGGGCTTGAGGTTTCTGCCGTTCAAGGCCTTGACCACTTTGTGGAAATCGTACGGAGAGCCGTTATGGAAGACGACCATCAAGGTTTTGGGATGCTTGAACTGCAAGTTACATCTTCTACATAGAGCCATCCTGTAATTCGATTTCTCTGGATCGACGCCGATAAACAATATTCAATTATATTCATGCAACATCTTAATTAATCCATGTTGGGTTCGGAATTTCAGGACGCTTGTCGCATTGACGGCTTTTCCTTGGATTTTGCGGAGACCCGACTAGGCGAATCAATCCAGCCATCCATCCATCCTTCCGTCCATCCTCCGGTCCCTGTGGAATTTTTCTTGGAAAATCAACCGTTGGAATAAGTAAGTAAACAAACACATTTTTATTTAATAAAATATCTAATCATTTTAAAAAATAATAAAAAATACACTTTTATTTACGACTTATAGAAACTAAAAAAATAATACAAAAACAATTTTCAATTCGGCGGGCACTAAAAGTTCTTGCCTTTTCATTGATTAGACACTCGATTTACATTCATGTTTAACATTAAATGAGCAGCGCAACTTTCATCATGAGACGATGCCGGAATGCCCACAGAGGCAGTGCCATGTTTGTCCCAATGTTCCCGACATTTTTAGAAGAGCCTGAATTTCTCGTTCTCTAAAAGCACATCCAATTCTTTTTAAAATATGACGGAAACCTATGTGCACAATTCAAGAACACGTTTTCGAAGCAAAGTGCCACGTTAATTTATTTTTTTCTTATTTTTTTTCATGTTATTGGATTATTATGAAGCCTCTCTCATAGCACCAACATCAACGTTCAAATACATCAATGCACCTCTTATGAACAGAAAAATCGTTAGTCAACTAAACATTTACACACTCGTGATTTGTCTCGCCTATAAAACAGGACGCCTTTTCGGTATTTTCCTGTAGTCGCCATACTAACAAAGCATACGTTGTTTGATTATCCTAAACAGGTTTAATCCCTCTTTCATCTCCAGGCATTCCACTATAATCATTATAGAAGTAAGTAATTTTCCAGTTATACTTTCATTTACCCTTATGTACATAACTTATGATAATTGTATATGTTTTCTCCTAGGAAGGTTACAATAAATAAACTCTCTAAAAATAAATAAATAAAAATAAAGGCACTCCAGAATTATTGACCATGGCTTCCGAAAATGACTGCTATAAATCTTAATTTTTGACCTTGTCTCGAGTGAAATCGAGTGTGGCATCATTGTACCCTGTTGCTTCATGGTTCGATTTTGGGGGTAAATTTGACAGCGTCGGAAGCTACGCCTCTGCATCCAGCCTGCGAAATCAAGGCCACCTTTTACGTCTGCGAGAAATTCAAGAAGTGCCAAACTTATGGAAACTTGTTTTATGAGTTGAAAATAAACTTTCAACTTCACTCCAAATGCCCCGCGCTTTCCTCGTAGCTTTACGAGTCAATAATCCTTGACGGATCATTACAGCGCGGAACCGACGACGCTGGTACGCAGTCTCAAAGGACCCAGTTTTCACTAAAAAATTCGTTCCTAATGTCGTGCACAAAATTCATGGCTCATCCATCCTCGTTTTTCTTCCAAAAGCCACGAACATTTTGTGCAGCATTATCTCGGGATGGAAAACAGCAGTCTCATTTTTTGATATGAAAGTACTTCATGCTATTGTTGATTGTTCGT